TGAAATATTGGAGGAAGGACTATTGCCACTTTATTCCTCGGGACAAGAACACAACGTTGTTCCAGGAAGATAGAACACCGTGTCACACTGCTAGAAACACCCAAAAGTGGTAGGAAGAAAATGGTATCCACAAGTTGCCCGGGCCGAGCCAATCTCCTGACATGAACCCCATCGAAAACCTCTGGGCCATACTCGACCGGCAAGTCAAGAAACAACCAAAAAAAAACTTCAAGTTCGATCTACTCCAAGTTTGAAGAAAGAGTGGGCGAAAACCACACAATCTAAAATTGACGAGATGATTCTCACGATGCCCCAAAGGATCAACGAACTCCACGAAGTGAAAGGAAGATCTACTAAATATTAATTAAATTATAAATATATCAATTCATATCAGTATGACTGAAAATTTTCATTTTTTTTCTGAAAAGGTGGTGTATTTACTTGTGACCACGCTGTGTATACATATAATTTTTATACTTTCACAGTGCTGTTTCTTGTACTTGTCTTTATCACCAACTTGTATCATCATAATCTTGCTACAGAGGGAAAATGTAGTGAATTTGAGACCTATACATTTAATTTTATAAAATCTTATAATATGAAATCATCTATATAATAAGTGTCTGTATGCGTGTCTTAAAATCTTATTCGAGTCAGGATGTCATGTTCATTTCTTTACACACACACACACACATATATATAATTATATTTAAAAGTTCTTTGAATATTCGGGAAAATGCGAATACGATTAAATCAGGGATAATATATCATATTTAGGTAAGATGTTTTAAAAAATTTAAACAAAAATTTTATACGCAATTTTTATAAAAAGTTATACCTTCGTGCATTTTCCTTCAATCTCAAATTCTTTGCCTTTGCCATCACAGTTAATAATTCGAAGGGTCAGACATTTGGCCATGTAGAAATATTTCTTCGATAACTGGTTTTCCGCATGTTTCAGTCTAAGACTTTATCAATAAGTATATTTCAACATTACATAAAAATATATAAGAATTTCTACTCAAGGGCCACTTACATGAAATGACTAAACATGCCGAAAAAAAAATGTTTTCTGGAAATACTAGAAAAGGGATAAACATTATTTATACATATATTGTTACACATATAATTTAATCAATTTAAAAAACACATTCATAAAACAGTTACTTAGATTTAATTTTCAGAAGAAAAATTATTCAGCACTTACCGTCATATGACGGCCATTCAGCTAGTTTACCCTATATCGAAGAAAGGTTTGCTGTATGTTTCTCTTACTTGAACTCTGTATTAACTTGCTGGCTAGATTTATTTGTACAAGTACATCATATCAAACTGCTACATAACTTAGAAATTTATAGGATAGTTCATCCACTAACTATAGTAATTCAATATCATTAATTTTTTCAATATACTTCCTGTTCGTATCTTTCTTTTGCATCTTCAATTTTACACTCTTATCTAGTGTTAGAAAGATATATTGACATTGGACTTCAAATTAGCCCATCCACTAGTCAGATGCCGCAAAAATAGTAGATATGAAGAAAAAATGGAAAAAGGGATTTGACCAGTTGCAAATATCCGTAGCATCACACAATACAAGATTAAATAAGACAACCACAAGAAATGAAGAATGTCATTTTGTTTAATTCAAACAATCATAAACTTGGCTATATTTAAAGCGTTGTGTAAGCTTTTCAAGAATTTCCTCAATAATAGAAAGAAAATTAAATTTTCTCATCACACCCATTCATAGACAGACTGAAGATTAAAAATGGACGAGAAATTTTTATACCAGCCTTCCAATAAGTTTGGAGTACAGCGACATGCTGCAAAGCTTGTACTACTAGTATTATTCATAAAGTTCACATATTAAACAAAAAATACATTGCGCAAATTTTTTTTTATTTACGATTATCCAACGTTTATTACCCTTTTTACTATACACCAAAAGAACACAAAATTAGATGAACTGAAATTCATGAAAACAAATTTAAAGGTATAATTTAATGATCTGTAATACTCATCCACGCAACAAGCTGTTATATCGTTGGAGTTTAATTTTCAGAGGTTCATTAACGACTGTTTTCGAAAGTATCAGCATTATCTCATTTTCGACTTAGAGGCTGAAATAACGAATACTTACTCTACTAACCTGTTCAAACTTTGCCTTCCAAATTTCTTCATCTCCCTGTGCTAGTAATAAATTTTAGGTATTCTGAAAGTTCAAATTTGGTTTACTGTTACATATTGTGAATTATGAGAAAAGAATTCTCTACAGACCTAAGGGAGAAGATCTTTCAGAAGCACAATTCCGGAGAAGGCCATAAATCAATTCCAAAAGTTCTTAATTTGCCATTAAGTACTGTAAAATCGGTTGTGAAGAAATGGAAAGTGTGTCTCACTTCCTCAATCTTGCAAAGATCAGGTCGCCCCAAGGATGTCTGCGCTTGAACAAGCAGAAAAATCGTCAGAGAATCGGCTGTTAAGGCAACAGTGCAACAGTAAAACTGAAGGAGCGGCAGACTTCAATAGCAGTAACTGGAGTTACAGTACATCTCGACAATATCAAGTACCTTACACTAAAAAAAGCTTGTATGGTAGGGTGGCAAGAAAGAAACCACTACTGACGAAGATGCATCTTAGATAGCGAATGGACTATGCCCGTAAACATTTCAATAACCCTACAGTAGTATGGCAAAGTTCTATGGTCAGATGAGACCAAAATAGAACTTTTTGGGGTTTAATGACAAACAGTATGCATGGTGGAAACCCAACACTGCTCATAACCAAGAAAATAGTCCCAACAGTCAAGCATATTGATGGGTCCATAATGCTGTGGGGATGTTTTTCTGCAGCTGGCACTGGAGAAATTGTACAGAATCCAGAGATCATGGACAGTGCAAAATATCCACAGATGTTGGAGGCAAACCTGAAAAAGTCAGATGAAAAACTAAAACTGGGTCGAAAGTTTACATTTCAACAGGACAATGATCCCAAACACAGGTCCAAAGGCAACCCAAGAATGGTTTTAGAGAAACAAAATTAAAGCCCTCGACTAGCCAAGCCAAAGCCTGGACCTAAATCCATTCGAAAATCTGTGAAGACTTGAAAATTGCTGTGCATTGAAGACATCCTTCCAACTAACAATAACTGGAGGATATCTGCAAGCAGGAGTGGTCAAAAATATCTCCAGCATACTGTGCAAAGCTCTTGGATAGTTATCCAAAACGACTTTCAGCTGTGACTCATGCCAAAGGAACTTCAACCAAACATTAACTGCACAATCATTTTGCAACATGTGTTTAAAATGTTTTTGTGTTATATCACTAAAGTGAGTAATAATGCACATTTTGTTCTTTGTAACCATTAAGAAACTGATCTGAGATTAATAAACATCTCTGGCCATTTGAGTTGTCTTTTACAAGAAATTAACAAATTGATTATCAGCACAGTGGGGTGTGAAGACTTTTGCATGTCACTGTGTTACTATAAATCCATTTTCACCCAGAGCTCCCATTCCTGTGAAGACTTTTGCAAGTTACTGAATTACTATAAACCGTTTTCACCCAGAGCTCCCATTTCTTACATTTATTCAGCACTTCATATGCAAACTTGAGATTCTAGTTTTAGCATACTGCCAAGTTAGGTTTGCAAATAAATGTATAAGCAGAATTACTTATTAATTTTTGATTACCCCAAGAATGGAAATAAACTGATCAGATGAAATTATGCAATTCTACAAACACCCACCAACTAGTATTCCAATTGTCCTGGTTGCTTTAATCGTTTACGTTTAGTTTCTCATAACTCCTAGTTGCATTAACTTCTGCATCCCGATTGTATAAATTACATGTATAAAAAAAAATTACCACAGCCTAAACAGAAGTATTTTGAAATTGTCAGTTTCACTGGAAGCAGGTAACCTAATATTAAGAGTAGTTAGTGCTAACAAAGTAATTGTAAAATAAAAATATTCATAATACAAAAAACAATAATTACTTAAAGACTTCAAGTGAATAATCCAGTTAAGAGTGAAACCAATGCCATTTCAAATTAATTAATTCTGTTTAGCCTTCTATTATTTTTTTATGCTCTGTTTTTCTCATTATTATATTCATATGCAACCTATTAAACCCAAACAGTTTGCTTTAGTTTTATTGAAGTACACAACAGCAATCAATCACTTGCTTTCTAGATAAAAGCAACTTTTTGTAGTATAAATCAAATGGGACACACTGATAAATGGTTTCTGTTAGTCCTATGTTCATCAATCATCATCATCTTAGGTTTCAGAGGCATCACACTACCTACAAAATATTAAGCATGTTCAAAATGTAGTTATGATACATTCCATTCCATCACAGCTTTCTTTCGACCTTGGTTGTCACGAGTTGCTGATATACACAAAATTATTCATTACAACATACCAAACCATCTGCAGTTCCTCAATTGCACATGTAGATGTTCTAGAGTCCAACTCAAATTACTGACCATTACTTGAAGCATAAGAACTTTTGAACACTTATTAAAGGATTACGTTATTTGCAATATATTTATCATTTATTCCCTTCAAGTAAGCCAAAGTTTCCAACAATACATCACATGAAAAGTTTTTATTAAACACAAACTATGTACATCAGATGACGGACAAATCACGATGTTTTCATGAAATTACAATGGCAGCACAATACAAAATATGTACCACAATCACGTCTGCCATGTATTTAACGGTAAGGATGGTAGGTAGTAGCAGTAGTAGCGGTGGTACCCCCTCGCCCAGCTCCACGGGTCTTGCCATATCCACTTGGTTGTTGACCTGCAGGTGATCACACTTTTGATTTTAAAAATGGGTCATTTTAGAGTAGTTTTAAGGAAAAGCAAAATCTTAAAATTTAAAAAGTGGATCTCAATATTATTTAGCAAACAGTTATTCCAAAGACAATCAAGAATTTGTTTTGAAGAATGTAATTAGAAGGGGTAAGTTAGGGAAAATTAAAATGTTGCATCTCTTATCACAATATTAAGAATTATTTCTTTTATAGCAATCAAAATATTGGATTGCTTCTTACCATAGCTTTGTCCATATGATCCCCATCCACTGTAGTCATAAGCACCATATCCCCCACTGTAGTCGCCACTGTAGCCACTATAGTCATAATTACCATAACCTTGATTATAGCTTCCATATACTGGATTGTATCCTCCATATCCCTGACTTTCCCAACTTTGAGTCGGGTAACCTGAAATAAGAAACCAGGAGGTATAATACAACATAGATCACATCATAACATTCACATAATGCATAAATATACATAATTTACAAACTATCCTTTCTTTATGACTTCATATCCTACAAGTTAGCATCCTGTTAAATTTAAAACAAAAAATAATAAGCATTACATTACATGCTTCTGGAATTATTGTTTTATGCATATTTTACACATGGAAACATTGGTGTGTACATTAAATGTTCTTCATTAATTAACATAGGAAAGTCAAAGAAAGCATGTCTACTTCTTAGTTATATTAAAAATTTACTTAAAACTATTTTATTATCAATAATTTTGGCATCAAATCAGTTAATAAATCAAATTTTACTACAAGTCTTCATTTCTTAATTTCAAAAGAAATATTCCTATAAAATCTTAGTCTTCATCTGTTTGTATCACACTCTTATTCACATCAAGTTGCTCATTTTCAAATTTTTTTTACACATATATAATGTCCTCAGATCAACATAAATTACATATTTATAGTATAAATGTGACTAAGGCAGTATAATTTTGTAGCCTCCCATCTGGGTTTCCAGATATAAACCAGAAAGTCAGATATTTGATCTTGGATTAATTATAACCAACAGAAAAAGAATTTGAATCATTGGTTTTCATAAGGTTAGCTCAATAGGATGACAGTGTTTGATTTATTAGCCCTGCATATTCATTGTTATTTTCAGAGATCAAATAAACAAGATAAATGAATTACTTTAAGGCACCTGTACCCTTAGCTAGAAAGTGATTTAAATTATAAGTTACAGGACAATGTATGCCTTATGCACATTATCAATTTTTGTTCTTAACTACATATCTGAAATAAACCAAGTTATTTTATGTACTATTACCACAGTTATAGAACAATTATGGTTAACAGTCATGCATTTCTGCGTGTGCAAAAAAAACAAGAGAGTCCAGACAAGTACTAAATTTGTTTCAATACTATTAACTTGAGGTACATACATTCATGTTTTTACAACTTGTTTATTTAGGCTAAGTAGTTAAACACTGTTCAAAGACCAATAAAACAAAATTAAATCAAAACAGTTTCAAACTGTTTACAAGCTCAAGACTGCTTAGGATAAACAACTATACTTTTCTGTTACAATCTGCAGTCATCCTGGAGATAAAAGAGCAACTTAGATGTATTTGCTTTTTTTCTGGTGTTTATAACGTTGATCAAATTAGTGTTAGGGTTAAGAAATATAAACTGAAAGAACTTTTGACTTAAGAACTTATGCCAAAATCTGAATCCTAAATATAAAAAAGAATTTTAACTTTTCAACATGAAAATCACCTTACACTCAGATTTGCCAATGTCTGACTCAGTCCTTATAAATTCACAAGCATTAAAAAAATCTGTAATGTTTACTAAAAGCCTGCCAAATTTCATAAAAATACACTAACTACTTTAAAAAGTTATAGAAGGTATAATATCATGGGTACCTGGAGTTACAACCCGTACACAGTTAATAGTACTTTTTTACCCGAGGTTTGCAAAATACCTATACACAACACATATAAAAAGTATCATTAAACAAGGCTAAACTACAGAAGTTAGCCAAAAACCTTAAAAACTTTTCTCACCCCCTCTTCCACGGCCTCGACCACCAGTACTTCCACCACGAGGAGTTCCCCAACCACCCATGAACCCACCACGCATTGATCTAGGATCTGGTCTTGGAGTGGCTTTTTTCACATCACATTCCTTATTTCCTATCATCTGCTTTGGTTGCTTAGTGACTTCTCTGACAGCTTCTTCAGTCTCAAATGTTATGAAAACAAACTGCCGTCTTTGATTTTTAGTTTTATCCATCGGTAATTCTACAGTCTCAACCTATACAAGGAAAGACAAATAATTACAAGTTTATTCTAATGTAAAATACATAAAAAACACACAGTATCTCCAAGCTTTTATCAACCTCAAAGAAAACATGCTACAGCACTAGTAAACAGATAGGTTATGGATGTATACTGAAAGTACAATTTAAGATGTAACTTACTCTTAACATTAAAAGCTCAATACAGTTTCTGAACATTAGTAACTCAACTTGTACCTTTGAATACAATGCAAAACTGTTAGATATATTTCCAAATTAAATTATGTCAGAAAAAATGTCTCACCTTGCCAAACTGTTCAAAATATGATCTGATATCACTTTCAGACATATCAGGATCAAGTCCTCCCACAAATATCTTTTTAATCCCAGGCCTGGCCTTAGCTCTTTTTGGATCAACTTGCTTACCCTTGACTGTGTGTGTACCTTCCTTTAAAACCTAATTAATTACAAATAATTAAAAAATGGCCCAACCTTTATATATTAACAACTGATTAAAACAATTAGATGCTAAATATGAAATAAATATAGCTAATAATAAAAGTAAAAACAATCTTACAGTATGCAGAACCATTAATAGAATTCCATTTACAAAATATGGCTGCATATTTTAGTACAAAAAATTGAAATGGAAAATGCTGCATACTATTTATTTTTTTGTAGAATGGCTAGTCAAGAGAAAGCAAAATAAACAGGGTAAACAATTCTCACAAATAAGTGTCAAAAATTACAGGAATAATAAAAATATTCTTAAAAAACTAAGAAGTTTAGGTCATGAAAAATGATACAAAAACTAAAAGGAAAAAAATTGTAAAAAATTAAATGGTAAAACCAGAATAAAAACTTTAAACTGCTTAATGGGTTTGTCAAATGCCACAATACTATTGTCAATTGCTCAAAACACTGTAAAATATCATTGTAGAATTTGAGTAATTTTTATTGATACAGGATAAATCTGAAATGTTTGGTAAATATTTACTGTTGAAGAAAAAGAAGATATTAATGGAGTCCAGCCTTTTGCTACTGTAGGCCTCTTTTTTTCCTCATTTATATTAAAGATATTTACTGAAGAATATATACTAACGTTATTTCGTAAATTAGTAGTTTGCTGATGACAAACTTTTGGGTATTTCTATTTATAATTAGGATATGTTGAAATACCAAAGAATGACCAAAATCAGTTGGCAAGTTAGACAACTTCCAAATAGCCTTTAATTATAGTAAATGCCAAGGTAATGCTTTTGAATTTTTAACTTGGGTCACATATTTAACACAAATGTGAATGTACTCAACTGCATGACTGAAGACAGCAATCTTGGCATAATGGAAGATAAGTCACAAGCCACCAAATTAGCATTCTGCCTCTAAGAGTAACACAAGTATTTTACAACTTATTTAATGCATAGTGATTACAAGTCACGAAAGGTTCTCTATACTATTCACTAATTAGGCCTCACTTGGTGTATTATGTATAGTTTTGGTTTCCTTACCTAATAAATAATATTTACTTTTTGAAGGAGGTCTAGGAGGGCTACCAAGAATATTTTATGGTGATTGGTTAAGATAAGTGAAAAGTAGAATGAGTGATTCCATAAAAATAAAAAGGTAGGTTTAAACTCGTCTCAGAAGTGGGTGTACAGAGAGTTATCTTAAAGGGCTCAATAGATCTTTGTTGTTCATAATGTTGTGCTTCTTTGAAGAGACAGCTCACTTTCAAAAAATGTGAAGCTGGTACAGGAAACCAACCAAGTTGCACGATACGCTATATTTAATTATTTATCTTAAAAATACATCATCATCACTATTCTCAAAAGAAAAAATTAACAAAATGTGTTAACATTTTTAAAACATATTCACCATAACTGCAATCATCTAACCACACAGCTAAATGTAGTTTTGTCAAGTCAGTGAGATCTGTCAGATGAACAGTATACAGTGGACAAGCACAGGATATTATTTTTGAACCATTCTTTAATAATTACATCTAAGTGAAAATATACAGTACATCTTAACTGTACAAAAGAATTACACAGTAAAATCTTACAGCATCTATAGAATCCTGAGAAGCAAACGTGACAAAAGCAAACCCCCTGGATTTTCCAGTGTTAGGATCAGTCTTGATGTTAACATCAGTAACTTCACCATATTTTGAAAAATATTCCTTCAAATCAGCTAAAAGAGGAGAGGTATTATTGACATTACTATTCATACCATAGTCTCTTAACTCAAAACATTAAATTAACCAATTTTGACAGAAGAAATAAAATGCACTTGTAGCTGTTCGAAATTCAACAAAAAACAAGAAAAGATATCAAGTCTTGTGATGTGGTCATTAATCTTAAAACTTGTGTTCTTCCTTATTGTTCATTACTACTTCAGTGTTCATTAGGATTATTAAGATTTTAAACAATACTAAATAAATTGTAATTAATACATGTGCAAGTAATATTTAATTAGTCAAATGCATGTTATAATACACCATTTCAGATATCTCTAAATATGAAAAATAAGATAAGTCAAATTCCTAAATATCTTCACACTTCAAACTAAAAATGGTAAAAAGCTCATTAAATGAGATGGTTACAGATAATCGATTTTCTATCTGGTCAATAACTTAAAATCAGCAAATTAGATGTTTATCCCCCATTTTTTTTTTTTTATGATTCTTAGATTATTTCTAAGGCCAAAACAAACTTACTTGTTTGGGTATCCCAGCTCACTCCTCCAACAAAAAGTTTTCTACATGCAAGAAAAGTTAAAAATATTAGAAACTTGTGACTAAATACATTCAAACAGCTAAATTAAAGTGGAAACTTGCTTTACCTTCATCTGCCATTACTCATTCAAGAAGACCATTTTCAGCTCTTAAATGTTATTCTGGAAATTAGCACTAGGAAGAAATTTTACATTAGTACAAGATCTCACTGTAAGGATAAAGATTTAAGTTAAAACATTGTTGTATCTTACATCTTGGATAACCATTACAGTTAAGTTTGTAGTAGAATATACTGTACTGGTAGAAAAAATAACCCAGTATATATACCATTGCAATCTGCCATCAAGTCAACAGCCTGACATGGGGGATGCTCCTATGAGAACAAAAGTTAATTAAGTTCTGCTCTCTAACAACATCATCTCATGGAATCAACTTTGAAGACTCTGCTTAGAAACATTAAACCTGTAAAAAAACCTAAGGCCTCAACATGAAGAGCAAATGCAATATTAGCTAAGCTTATCTGCATTAATTTCATAAATTATAATAAAGCTTAACTGCACTATTCCATTGAAACTGTATTTACAGTTATCTGCACTAGATTTCTTTGGAAACTGTAGGTGCTGATTTAAAATCTTAATATCTCGTGGTACTTTTATCTAGTGCTTTACTTATCATGAGCAACACTCAGTTACCCAGTCAACATCAAGCGTAGTCTTCTCTCCACCAGTTGCTTGAGCAAGATGGCAGATGGCAATCTGGAAGTTTCAGGTTGAAAGTTCCTGGTGACTTGTCCTGTAGCCCCACAACTGTCATCCTTGTGTCGTCCTTCACATAACAAGTCTTCTTTTCACCAGATCTTGAACCCATCCAGCCCATTCTTATAATTATGTATACATATATACTTTTACATTTTGATTTAATACTGCTAAAGATTGAGGTGATTGGGTGTGCATAAACATTCAGTGTTCAAGCAAGAATTAGTATGTGTTAAATAAGCAAACTAACTATAGCACTTTTCAGTAAGATTTACATTTCATATGCCAAGATTATCACTGAAGAGCTTAAGTTATAAAAACAGGCATAAATAAACTGTACTTCAGTAAATGGTGCCATTACACAATTTGTGTTTGTCAAAATTTTTTTATTTTTTTTTTACTGAATTCTATCCCATTTGAAGTAGATTATGAATTATAAAATCTAAAACAAAGGCTGTGTAGGAAACTGATCAAGTAGTGCAAAATACTGCCTCCTGAAAAGATTTGCTGTGAAAAAGAAAGAAATCTCCATTAGAAGGGGCTTGAACTTTCTACTACTGGTGACTGAGTTAGGACAAATATCTTACTAAATCTACACCATGGAAAGTATTTGGTAGCTCGAACACTGCACAAAACAAATATGCTAAATATTATAATAGAGTTAATTAATAAAGTCTACTAACTACTTATAAAATTACAGAATAGTTATTGTGGATTAAAATTCTTTTTTAAACCATTTATACATTATCAATAAAAATTAAAAATATCACAAACCCAATAGCATTTTATTAAATTCTATACTCAAAGTTTATTCTCAACTAACAATTACTCTATCTGGTAATATAAGAATTATGCAAATAGTAGAACTGGACCAAAAATACTTCCTAAAATTAAATCATCAAAAATTAATAAAATTGAACACCACTTTATTTGTAATTTTAATTAGAATCTCCATGTTTTTTTTTTGAGTTTGAATAAAAAATAAAATTTAAGCATCCTAAGTATGACATAACAGTAATATTTTTCAGCTTAAATTCTCAGTTTCAAGCACAAACACAAAGATAAAGCGTGGCTAAACCGTTAATTTTACTTAATCTTTAATACTGTAATAACATTACTTAACGTCTTATTTCAATGAACACCACAAAATTATTATTTCAACTACCTCTTAATACTATTACTGCATCTTAGTCGTAATAGAATAATTAATTTGTTTTTGTTTGGAGTATTACACTAGTGGATGATTTCAGATGTATTTTTAAGAATTATACTGATACAAAGAATGCTACAACGGCCATCTTGATTTTAGTCGGAACAAAGAAACAGTAACAGTATTACTAGGTGGATGGAACCGGTTTACGCGAGACCACAAATCGATGCCATTAGAAAACTGACTAACACTAACCTAACACTGTAAAAACGCATTTACGAATAAAACATTTCAAACAATATACTACAAAGATAAAAATAAATGTGCTGAACTAATGACCATCCTTCTAAAATTAAATTTCATCCTCATATTCATAAAAACTAAGCACCGAGAAGTAAACTAAGTAACCTACTTATCATCATCAGCTTTTCCTTGGCCGCCACTCTCTATTTGGTTATCTCCACCCTGCATAGTATCGCTCTCCATTCCACCTTGATACTGTCCATATTGGCCTTCACTGTACCCATTATATTCCTGATTCTGTCCGTTATACTGATTATCGTCTCCCATCTTAAACGTTTACTAAATTATTTTAGATAAAAATATTCCTGTTTTAAAAACAACACTGTTAACTAGCCCTTCTCCAGCCCTTTCTTACACAGGAAGAAAGCCCCTTGTACGTGAAAATGTATTTATACGTTTATACCACGTGACTTATTCCCCTTCTATTATTGGACGAAACATATGATGTCACAGCAATATGATGTGGTGTGCCCTAGTTCATGCTTATTGCATTTTTGCAATGGTGATTTCACCACGTGATACGTATTTTAGAAGCGCCAATCTAAATTGACTATTAGGACAACAAAGGGCATTTCTATCATCCCATACATATTACAACAATTCATAAGCTCACTTTTAGCCTAAAATACAAAACAGTACTATCCTGGGTTTTCATAATAAACAGGCAACCTATGACATATCACCTAGATTGTGATATCATAAGTGTAGTTATAAAGTATTTATGTAAAATACGCGCATGATAATGCAGCCTAGTAAAAAGTGACATTTGCCAACAAACTGTTTATGAACTATTATGCAATCAAATTAAATGAAGTGGTGAATAGCACTAAATGCTATAAATTCAACATTCATGGGCATGGCCTTAAAGTGAGAAGTAGAATCAATGTATATAACTTAGTGTTTGTGCCCTGATTTCGTAAATGCTCATATAATATGTGTTAGTGAAAATGCAAACAGTATAGGAGAGGAGGATAGGTCTAGATAACACCTGAACAACACCAACCCAAACATAACGCATGACATTTCCTGGTCAATGTGTCATGACTTTGAAATACGAAACAGAAATGCCAAATCAATATAGTGTTTTAATTCGAGTGAGTAAGTCCATGGAAGTAAGCTTAGAAAGTTCTAAATTTCACGCCACGAAAATCTAGTAAATTCGGGGAAATCGAGGGATAAGAGTAGATTATAAATATAAAAATCAGTAAATCACCGCGTCGGTGTTTTAAGCTTTCAGTTGGTGTGGCTAGCAGTGAATCATCCCATTTTGTTTTCTGTTCGTAGTCTGGTAAAGTACCGTCAACTACGGCTTTTTTGAACAGTTTTGTCTTTTCTATGGTGCAGTTTGAAGATGCTAGGAATAGTAACTTCATTTTAACATGGGCACTATTTAGGTCTTTTAATATAATCATTTAATGAAAAATTTTAACCATAGTTTGTTTTCTGAGTATTCAAAGTTACCCCGGCTTGGAAGTTACTTTGGACAACTGTGATACTACAAGTTTTGTTCAAAGAAATACTGCAACAGGGGTTACTTTGAACATCAAATAACTTTAAAACACACACACATTTATATGGTTCCAATGATATATTGGTGTTAAAGAACTCCTCTCATGGTATTCAGCATGTCTACAACTGCAGTATATAGAAACTAGAGATGGGCGAGTGTTACCATCTTGGGATGCTGTGGCCAGATCATGTTTCCCATCTTAGAGTTTGTTCAGAACTTTACCAGAATCAAGTGGATAAAGTCCACAGGCTCTAAAGCCTGCAACCAGGTTTTATTGCCCTGTTTGTTTTGTAGGTATATAGACTTGTATAGCTCTTTAAGAAGCTGGGGAAATCATTCTTTTCATAGCGTCTGTGACTTGCACTGAGTGCTTGCCTTCCAATTGTCAAGCACTTTCCTCCATGACTTCTTTAGCAGACCATAGAAAGCAACATCTAATGATTGCATTAGGTGTCTTGAGTTGCTAGGAAAGCATACAAAGTGAATGTTGTGTTCTACTGCTAACTGTAACACTCTTTCACTGAAATGGCTACTGAGATCATCTCCAAGTAATATATTTTGTCCTTGTTGGTGTTCAATATGAGGGACAAAGACAGTTTCAATCCAGTCTGTAAAACAGAATGCATCAAACCATCAACTTTTGCTTCTGTTCTACCTGGTACATGGGAGGCCAACTTCCATCCAAGTGCTCCATATATGTTCTACTTTGTAGACCATGTTCTCCGGTAGCAGAACCACAGAACATGATGGATATTGCTACTTTTGTACTATCTCTTATTCTCTCTCTGGGTACTTCATTCTTCTCTTGAACACACAATTCTTTGTCCCAGGGTTGTCTAAAAGGTTGGTCTCATCATAGTTGTATATATTCTCTGGTGGAACCTCCGTTCCATCCTAGTTTGAATCGTCTGCTCTATGTTTTTGATGTTTTGACACAACCGAGTTGTCAGTTGCTCATGCTGTCTTTTCACAAAGCTCCTAGTCCAGCTCAAAGTAGCTCCTAGAACACTGGGTATCCTTTTTTTGGGTCGGAAAATCTTTGAACGTAGGTTTTAAGCTATTTATTCATTGTGATTGATGCACATGTACCATAACAACATGTTGAATACAGTTAAACAATTATGGCTATCATAATTACCAGGATACAGCAGAAAGTTTGCAAACACCATATCTTTACCACATAGAGGCAGCCATTTTAAATGTCATCCTCACAAAGCCATAAAAAAATTAAAAACCATTGACAATTCCATAAAGTTGCTAAGAATATACAAAACACTAGAAATAATTTAAAATACAAAAATATTTACCAAATTAGTCAGATTATGTATTGGATCTTTTTTAAAAGTAGTCCTAGTTGGCGGTACCGGTTTCAGTGAAATATATTTGGATCAGTTTTAGTTATTGCCTTTATGAGGTTACTTGATCGACCAGTTGTAAAATTGTACAAATAAGTTTATTTTTACGCAAGTATAATAGTACAGATAGCGTAGTGTTTATGTTTGAGCGTCATTTGTAAACTTAGGCTTAAAACAAGTTACAACAACAATGTACAAATGAAGGCAGATTGTAAAAGCATCAAGGATGAAATAAACCAATTTGTTCTAGTTAAGTGGACTGGATTTCGAAATATTTTTACCAAATGATTTAGAAAAACACATCCAACAAATGAACATTACAATAACACCTACTATATTGTACGTCTTCACTGTATTAGTATAGATGACAAAAACAAGCCACAATATTTCATAGTAAATACAAAATTACCAATAAAATTAAAAAAGAGAGAGATCTGTGTATGAAACAAGAGAGTGAAAAATACAATTAAAATTGTAATATATTTTATATTTGATCAATAAAATAATACTTTTATTGATAATAAACAAGTAGAAACTATGTAAAGAGGTAGAAAAAATGACGATTTTTAGCACAATAGATTTATTATTATTAATGACTTGAGCCGGCTAGTTTCAATAACATCATCATCAGGAATAAATAAAACCTTAGACAAACCAGTGCAAAGAAGCTGACCCTACACTTGATAATAATAGTAAATTGTACAAGTTGTAGTGTTACAGTCTTTGTACTAATTGTAGTAGACATAGGGCTAATGATGTAGGAAAGGGAAGATCAGAGGAGCTAACTGTTAAGTACAAGGCATTCAAAGAAATAGGCTATAATAACTTAATTCTTTCAGGGGCACTATCAAGACTCAATTGTAGAGATGAAATTATAAGTAGGTCACTAGGGCTGAATGCTGGGCTTAAATTAATATGCAATGACATGCAGGTTGGCCGGTTGGCTTTGTGAGATCAGTTCAATGTGAGGAGGGAGTTTTTTGTAATGGATAGTTTACATGTAAATAGGGTAGGGACTGGCTTGTTTGCATGGGCTATTAGCTCAACTATAAGGACAACTTTTTAAACAAAAATTAAAAAGTGAAGAGAGCCAGAATAGTGAAGAAAAAATAAGATAAAGAGAGGGGCTATAGTGTAAAAACAAATAGCAAGGAGGTTGAATCTATTTGGGTTTCTGTTAGTAGTTATAGGACGATTGTTTGTTTTGAATTTCGCGCAAAACTACACGAGGGCTATCTGCGCTAGCCGTCCAAAATTTAGCAGTGTAAGATAAGAGAAAAGGCAGCTAGTCATCACCACCCACCGCCAACTCTTTTACCAACGAATAGTGGGATTGACCGCCCACGGCTAAAAGGGCGAGCATGTTTGGTGTGACGAGGATTCGAACCCGCGACAATTCGCAGATTGCGAGTCGAGCGCCCTAACCACCTGGCCATACCGGGAGGTTAAGGGGGGGCTTTTAGTTGAAATTTGTTAAAAACCACCACATGAAACTGATGAACTAATTAGAAACTCTACAGAGAGGTAAATAATTCAATTATCAATGAGGTTATAACTATGGAAGATTTTAATTTCAGGCATATATATATTGGAAGCGTCAGAATCAAATCATGAAAGGGACAGGTTTTTTTAGAAACTGTTCAGGTTAAGGAACGTACTAGGAGCAATGCTATTTTAGATATTTTGTTAATTTCTATTAAAGAAATGGTTGAACGTGTATGGGCTGAATAACATCTAAGTGCAAGTGATCATTGCTCAATTAGATTTGATGTTTTGCTGTTTATGAAGATAAAAAATAATGAGAGTTTGGTTCCAAATTTCAAAAAAGCAAATTTTGAAGAGATGAGACAAGAATTATGTGCTGTGAATTGGGAACCTGATTTGGTTGGAGTTACTAATCAAATGTGGAAAATTTTTTAAAATACATTTTTAAATATTCAACATAGGCACATTCCTTACAGACAAAAAAAATGGTTTTAAAAAAACAAAAACAAGTTAAGTTCCCCAAGGATATAAAAGATGAAATTAAAGAAAGGGATTTTAAACATAAGAAGTGTAAATTGACTGCAATGACGGAAGGTTTGGAGGACTATATATGATCAAAGGGGTTGGTCAAATGCGAAGTTAGGAAACAACAACAAACAAAAAAAAACAATGGAAAAAAAGGTTTTGACTGAAAATGCAAAAAAAAATAAAAAAATGAGAGTATAGATTTGGGGGATGATACAGGAAGGCTAATATCTGATGACTGGGTTATCAAATTCAACATTCTCTTCAGTTTTTATTAATGAAGATAAAAACAATATTCCTCAACCTGGATGGAAATAAGTTTGAACATGATTGTCACATTAATTTTGAGCTTGTTGAGAAAAAACTGGGAAGATTGAAGAATTATAAAGCAACTGGACCAGAAAACGTTTACCCAAGAGTTTTGAAAGAAGTTAAGGATTGGATACGTGGGCCACTTGTAATTATTTTTTCTAAATCCTTGAATAGTGGAGAGGTACAAGAAGATTGGAAGCTGTCAGTGAAGATAAAATTTGTCCCAGTAATTATATGTGTATTAGTGTTACATCACTGGTGGGAAAATTTTCGAAAGTCTGTTAAAATGTGCTTTGCAAAGTCATTTAATAAAGTCTAAAATTTTATTGCCTTACTAATCTTTTGACATTCCTTGAAACTGTAGACAAGGATACAGGTGTGGAAGTGGTGTACCTAGATTTTATGAAAGCATTTATTAAAAAGTTATCTTAGTAGGTATAGGTTGGCTCATTGGATAAAAAACTGGCTAGAGTGAAGAAAACAGGAGTTGTTATAAATGGTTTGTTTTGAATTTTGCGCAAAGCTACACGAGGGCTATCTGTGCTAGCCATCCCTAATTTAGCAGTGTAAGACTAGTCATCACCTCTCACTGCCAACTCTTTTTACTAACGAAACGTGGGATTGACCATCACATTATAATGCCCCCATGGCTGAAATGGCGAGCATGTTTGGTGTGACAGGGATTCAAACACGCGAGCTGCAGATTGCTAGTTGAGCACCCAAACCACCTGACCATGCCGGGCCTATTATAAATAGAGTTTAGTCAAGTTAGATTAATGTCACAAGTGGGGTACTTCAGGGCTCAGTGTTAGGACCTTTGCTCTTTTTGATTAAGGAATGGTCAACAAATTATTTCAATTTGCTTACAACATTAAAGTTTTGGGTCTATCTGTGCTAGCCATCCCTAATTTAGCAGTGAAAGTCATCACCACCCACTGCCAACTCTTGGGCTACTCTGTTACCAACGAATAGTGGGATTGACCATTACATAATAATGCCCCCACAGTTAATACAGCGAGCATGTTTGGATGGAGACTGGGATTTTAACCCACAACCCTCAGATTGCGAGTCAAGAACCCTAACTACTGGCCATTCTGGGCCCCAGTGTCATGGAAGAGAAATATCTTGGTGTTCTGGTTCATTAGTCTCTTAATCCATCCTAGCAACGTGCTGTTGCTAGTTGTAGAGCAAATAGGGTTTTAGGTTGTATCTACAGAAATACTGAATACAAGTGTCTAAAGAGGTTATAGTGCCATTGGTTAGGCCACATTTAGAAAGGGCATTGAATTGTTGGAATGGGTTACTAAGATGATACCTAGGATGGAAATGTTATCATATGAGGATAGGTTCAAATCTCTGGACTTTTTTTTTTCTCTCGAAAAACAAACAAAACAAGAATTCGAGGAGATCTGATTGAAGTGTTTAAGATTGTTAACGGAATTGATAGTGTTTATGCAACACATTTTTTTTTCCTATTTAATGGTGAAAATGGTAAGACTATGGGACACAAATATAAATTTTAGCAAGGAAGATGACTTACCACCAATTTCAAATGCAGTTAACTTAAGGAATAAGACAGTCTAGATCAAACAAAATGTCCCTTGTCTCTAATGTTCTAATGGTAAAAATGGCACAAACCATGGAACCATAGTGCCACACACCCAGGATATAAGAAACAAGAAAAACACAGTAACTAGAAACTTAAGGGTACAATATGAAGAAGAACGAGCATGGTGACTTTTTGAGAGTAAAATAAAAAGAGACAAGAAATGCTTTATTTGCACAAGTACTGGTGAAGATAAAAGAATCCAATCAGAAGAACACAAAATCTCATTACAGTTATGGCCCTTCTAAAACAGAAATGGATGATAAGCACCAAACTTTCTTGCTGTCCACATTTTCTTTATGGCTGAGCAATTAGAAGTTGAACTGAAAGAATCCTTAATTATATATATATTTCATGCAACAATAGCTCACTTTGGGTGATGTTGGACACAACTATTTTATGAGACAGCAGATAACTATCTTGACTAAGTTATGTCATAAAGAGTAAAACCTGAGACTAATTTCACTCTTTGCATAGAACAGGAGTTATATTCTGAACAAGAACTCTAGCAAATTTTTTTAAAAAAATCATATTTTAAAGATATATATACAATAAGAGTTCTTGTTTTTGGTTGTGTAGCACCAAGCTACACAATGGTCATCTGCACTCTGTTCACCACAGGGAATCAAACCCCAGATTCTAGAGTTTTAAGTCCAAAGACTTACCACTGACCTAACAAAGAACTACTATAAGAGAGTGGAATACACATTATCTAAATATCTATAACAACTCATTCATGATTAACTGGAAAGCTAATAAGTGGTATTGTAAAACATTGGCTCATGATGTGGCCGAAATCATGTGGAATTTTATTCAACATGTTGATGTAAAACTATCGGGTTGTATGGATATGGTAATTAAAATTCTCTCTGTAGCTGTAGCTTCAAATTGATTGGTTACAGGTTGTAATGACTCGAGTAATCTTTGGCTGAAATTCCATGGCATCAACTTATAAAATTTCAGGTGATCTGTCTGTCAAACACATAAGTTTGTTTGTAATTGGTC